TCCAATGGGCAGGAGCCATTCCTGCTTTTCTTTTCGTAGTGCAGTTGTTTAACCAAATTTGTAATTCACAATCGCGATTTCTCTTTCTATATGTAACGCTGCCTCAAATCTGTTATTTCTCGATCGTTAAATTACGTTTGTATCGTTACAAGAGATATTATAGACAAGTGGAGATACCTGAAAACACTGGAGATAATTTTCCAAAGTATTCTCCAGCGCAACTTTGTGTTGCTCGTTAAACAGATGCGGTTGCAACAGCTCTAACAACCCCATAACTTGCATGAAAAGATTCAAATGGTGGCCGGATCTAAACGGACCGAAGTCGAGATAGCATCGTCCCATCAAGGAGGACGCTAGCATTGGTAATTGCCGCAACACCAATATAGGGTGTACCGCAGCCATTTTTCTCGCGCAGAGTTCGAATTCCTGGGACTTGGAATTCCACGCCTTTTGCCTCGGAGTCGCCGCCAGAGCCGTCAGCAAGGAGTGGCTCATGCAATCGAGCACCGAGCCCGTCCAATCGGTTATCCTCGAGCCGTTAACGAACTTGTTGGCTTGAAAAGTGTCGACAACTGTGTCGTAACAAATGACTTTCGGGATCTTCATGTACATGTGCAACAGAAACTGATGCGCCATATCCGCCGAGTCTACGCTGAAAGTCGAATACAATCATTTAGTCGAATGCAGTAAACGTTAAATGTGTTGTAAAATGTGTACGATCGCACAATTCGTACTTTGAATTATCCATCATACGTTCCGCTAAATAGTTCACCACATTAGAAATCAGGCCGTCTTCGGTGGATATGCAATGTAATAGGAGATCGAGTCTTATATCCATCCTCGCTAAGGCAGCATTTCTGTTCTGCATTTTACAAATAATAACGGCCTCGGACACCAGATATGCCACTAGATTAATCAGCTGCCGTTCGTCCAACAGCAGAATATTCTCAGGAACGTAATGTTTCGGCGTGAACTTGTCCCGGCCCTGCCACAGCTTAGGATTGCATGTCAAGGCCCATAAAAAGTCCAGAACAGCAGTAGGATCGTATCTACAAATACATTATATTCGTGAATATAAAGAAGATACGCCAGGTTGATTTAGAAACAAATTATATATGTCACAGTCGCTGAACATCAGGAACAAGAAGCTTGACAAGGCAGAAGAGAGAAGAGTGTTTATCTCCGTTTTACTCACCCGTCATCGCATTTATCTAACAAATGGCCGACGCACTTGTACAGAGTCGTCCAACTCGCTCTGTGCGTCAAGAGCGTTAACAAGTATGGTCTGCAGGAGTGCGAGCTCACAACGTTCTTGTCGATGTTGATATGCACCTTCGTCTTTCCAAACAGCAGCTTCATCTGGAGATTCGGACAGATGCCGATCAGCTCGGGCTCCACAGAGGCCAGCCAATCGATGAGCAAACCCGTACGAGGTTTCAACGCGCCTTCGTTACTATCGCTGACCAATAATCTCGCCATAGCCTCGACCAGGTCGTCGTTCTTCTGCTGCTTCAGACAGAGATCCAGCAGTCTTCGGCCCATACCCTCCAGATTCACAGAGTCCGTGCCTTCCAGTATCGAGCCGGGGCTCTCGCCGCGGCTCTGCAGCAGCATCGACAGCTCCGCGCGTTGAGGCGTTTTCGTCAGCTGCATGTTAGCGAAGTCGCGTAGGATCGACAGCACCGGCGCCTTTACGTCGCCTATCAGCGATATCAGGTTCAGGCACATATTACGCGCCAACTCAATAACGTGCTTAGACGTTGACGGCCTCTTGAGCGGAAGCAGTATCACGCGCATCAACGTACAAGAATACTGCGGCATGTGCACAAGCGAGGCCAGAAACAGCTTGACCTGCATAGAACTGAGGACGCTGCATATGTGCTGTATCGCCAGCACCACCGCGCCACTTTCCTTCACGCACGATCTCTGCAGATCCTTCGCCAAGGCCTTGTGCAAACGCCGATAAGCGTCCATTTTCTGTCCCAACGGAATATTCTCGATGAAAAGTCGGTTTATCAAGTGGGGCACGTCAGTCTTCACGGAGCATTGTATGACGGATTGCTTCTGCACCGTCGCACTGGCCGGCAACGGCTGCTGCAGCCTCCCGATCGACACAACGCTCTCGTCCGGCAGTTGCGGTTCCAGCAGCTGCAATACCTGAACGAACACCAATCCACCCGTGGCACCCCTTCGGTGTTGCACCTCCACCAATTGTGCCATGTACGTTTTATCCAAAACCGCTTCACCCACCGAGCTTGGATCGATCTGGACACTCGCGTCGAGCGTGTGAAGCAGTTTACTCATTGACGACACTGGTCGTCCATTCCAAAGCTTTGGATGAAAAGTACCAATTGCTGGGGTTCAAGATCTTTTAATGCTGCGTCGACTAAACGAGGCACGTTGCTTCTAATCATGCGTAATTTGAGCCAATCTGGTATAAGCAATGCCTCCTCGCTAGTGTCCACGAGGAAGGCCTTGGGTTGTTCCGTTAAGGGAAACCACGTTTCCAGCAAACTATTGAACAGCGGGTCGTCCTCGGACGTATCGTATGTCAATAGTATAATCATAGCGTGCACCACCAGGATGTGCATGGTGCATTCCTCACCGTTGCTCCACTGGACTAGAATCTGATCCTGATTCCTGACTCTCGGACCACTGCCTCGGACCACTGGTAACCCTCCCCCCTGGGCGATCGGGCTTTCTCAAGATAGTTACAGAAGATCGCCATGAAGGCCTGCGCGGCAACAAGTCTGCGCGCCACCGAGCCTGCGCGCTAACGAACCGCGCACTAGCGAGCCGCCATATTCTTGCAAAGTCGGCCAGAACCAATCGCGTTCAAGGTTTGCGCATCTCTTACATGAGGATCTCTAACGCACGTTGGCAGAATTAAAAATTATGGTTATGATCTATGGTATGCACCAAATAATATCAATTAACAACTGATTTTTATAAAAAGCGGTAGATAACATTTAAAAACGGTAGAGCGGTAGTAAAACGGTATTTGGAGCTAAATAACGGTATATCTACCGCTAAGCGGTAGACCTGGCAACACTGGTTACGAC